CCCACCTCTGACTTGGATCCATGCTGTCATTCCTTCGTTTCATCGGCATTATGCCTAGTGTCTCCCTCCCAATGCACCCTTTCATGAAATCCAGCTCTGAGTGGACTGCTGCTGCTGTAACACAGTGTGTATGATATGCCCACTCTTCTGGTCACTCCAAAGGGACTGGCATCATGTCGTTTTAGAAAATGGAGGCATCTCCCACTCAATCGCCTGTGCCTTCTGAGAAAAATATTATCCAGTATGCATAGGCTTAGACCTTCTGAATTTGTGGCTTTTGTTAGTTATCAGAATTGGGCTTTCGGGCCTGCTGTGTGAGATTTCAGTTCTTACAAGTGGTGCCATTCAGAAGTTTTGGACTCTGCGTGTTACCATTATTTCCATCTCCTTGCTTCTGTTCACTCTCCCTCAAATGCAATTCTTGTAGTAGAAAACCAAAATGGGGGCTCCATATTTGCTTTTAACGTCTGAAAATTTAGACAGTGGCTGGGGGGGGTGGGAAAACTCAGCTTGACCTGTGCCATTCTCACCCCAGCAATCCCCTGCCTTTCTCGGATGTTAACTCATCCGGTTAGAGAAAGATGTTAATGATCGTACTAGCTATATGATGGCATTAGTTTGTGCTTTTTAAGGGAAAAAGTTCTCATTGATTCTTTTTTTTTCCTACTTATGCTTGTTGCTAGATCACTCAGGTTCAAAAACAGTCTTCCTAAGATTCTGACTGCATTTTACTTCCAGGAATTATTTAGCACAGCATGTAAAATATCTGCATCTATTTCCCCACTTCTATGGCTTTTTTTTCCCTTTAGGATAATATAGAACTGCCAAACTCCTTTTTCATTTTTTTTTTAATGCATTTAGCATCAACCTTCTGAAACAAAAATTTCTCCTTTTTCAACTGTGGACATAGAGAGAGAGTAAAGACCCTTAACACTCTCAATACCTCAAAAAAGAAAAACAACAAAAAAACCCAACTGTAAGTGCTTCTTCTGCAGTGCTGCATGGTGTCTCATCTCCCTGAATACAGACTTTCAACATTTACTGTGTCTTGATGGCTTAAAAACGCCTGCTTTCCGCACACGACTCCAATCTCCTTTAGAATAGCAGTTTGATTATCTCTGTTCAGGAGATGAATCTTTCCAAGTTCAGTCTCTCTAAGCACAGACCACGTTAAGCTGCTTTAAAACTATACTTTAAAATGTAATTGGTGTGGGCTGTACAGAAGTGAGTGAAGGATACATGGAAAAATTATATATAAGCCCCATGGCACCTTTTCCATGTCATGTTCATGCATTTTCCTGCCCAGGGCAGAGCAAAGACAGCTATATGGCTGGCATAAGTGTATAGAGTTCATAAAAATCTTAATTGATCTAGATGATGCTCTTAACTAATTTCTGTGGGGAAAAGTGACAGGAGCGCTTACGGGTGTCTGTTAGAATCTGTAGAGAAACTCCAACTGTGGATGCAAATAAACTCAGTTCTCAGTCAGATGTGCCTCTAAACTTTATTGCAACAAGCACTTAGCCACGCAGCTTGCTCAGAAAACAGTGTCGGGGGGGGGGGGGGGGGGGGGGGGGGATGCGTGCGTGTGCGTGTGTGCTTTGCATGTTTCATAGTTCTTTAGCCCTTTGATTTAAGAAGCTTAAAACTACAAGAGAGCTTGGGTCCCTCTGACATCTAAATGCCATCAGCGGGGCCGCTGCTTTGGGACGGTGGGCAAAGTGTGGGGTAATGAGGGAATTGTTCAAAGCTAAACACACCCAAAGGCAGGAAGATCACGAAGTGTACCCCTTCCTGCATTTGCCGGTCTCCGCTGTCTAATCCTCTGCAGAGTTAAAGTTCAACTGACATTCTTTCTTTAGGGTAAGATGGAAAGTATCTTCTGTCACCTTTTTTTTTTTTGCCTTTACAAAGGTGATTGTCCTGTCCTTTTTTCCAGCTATTGCTTGCATTAAGAGTCCTCTACGCTAGCAGGTGGAGTATCTATCTGACTGACTGAATTTATATCACCATCATGTCATGTCTTTGATCAAGAGCATGGCAGGTGTCCTGCCTCAGGTTGTACTGTGAGAAACACTGCATGAGGAATCAAACTGCTTGTTTTTTCATTTGGATGTTTTATGCTGGATGAGCTGCCCAAGATTACAAGTGACCCCTGCTGCAGGATGAGAGAAGTTGGTGAAGTTTCAGGGTTAGTTTCTCCTTGTCTCTGACTTAAAATGTGCTAATTTTGATGGCTAGATATCATATGACTCAGCCAAGCTTGTTATATACAGGCTCTGTTCTGCACCCTTGCTCCCAGTTTACTCAGGTGAGTAGTCCTGTTGGCTCAAACGGCATTTTATAGATTTTATAATTCCACACAGAATTAGTCACCCCAGGGGCCAAACCCTTCTAAACTCTTAATGCAGCAGTTAAGCAGTGCAAAGGGCATCACTTGCCATGGGTCTTTCCTCTGCCTGCAGATCTGCTGGAAAGGAATGTGACTCTGAGTAATTTCCATAACAGCATATGGGAAAAATAACTCATTAGGGCTCCTGCAGATAGTTTATCTTGTGGTCACCTCTGCAGAGGGGCCCCCCTGCTCCAGGGCTCCAGATTGTGCTGATGCAGCATGAGATTGGCTTTGGCATTGTTAGAGCACCTGTGTTAGCTTTAAGCCTATTCAGGTTTAAAGGGGGTGGCAAGGAATTGCTGCTTTCTCTCAGACAAGACTTGGCTGCTGATTTTTTCCCTACTGATGATCCCCCTTGACCTTCTAGTTCAGTGACTAAGCAAATAACCAGACATGGAGGACAGAGGCAACCTCTTTCTAAACCGTTTCCAATATAAAAGGGGTTTTGTTTAAATGAGCCCATTGGCAGAGGGGACCTGTGACAGGTCTTTCATGCCCGCACGCTCTGTGCACGCAGAAGTGGTGACCCTGAGGATAAGAGGGAGGAAATACCAGCTGCTTTTAAGTTGTCAAAGATACACTAGCAATGCCCAGATCTGGGAGAAGGGGGAATGCAAGGGAGCGTTTGGCCCAGGTTGTGCTTAGGATCTCTGAGCATCTGTTTTGGCTAAAGCTAATAAAGGTGATGTTGACACTCGGATTCGTAATTAAGTTGATAAGCTCTTGAATGGGGTTATTTAAAGGTTGCCAGTTCAGATAGGCTGGGAGTCAAGGGCCTCCTGGTTTCAGTGGGTGTGCATGATGTAGCAAAGGGGGGGGTGCTCCCTGCTCTAAAGTACCTACCATTTTGATTGTGCAACAGGTGTGTGAAATACCATATCTTCTCGCATATGACACATGCCCTTTCCCACAAATCACCTGCTGGAAATTGAAGTGTGCACTGTTTGCGAGAAACACAGTAAGGGCAATTTCTGCTAGAAACTGCAGAAGCAAAAGGAAAATCTGCATGAGACTTGCAGGAAGCAGAACAGTGGGAAGACTTAGCTCCCTGGCTACTGTTGCTTGGTTGCTTGCTACAAGGAAAGAGTTTTTTTTTCTTCTTTCTGCCTTTCAAAAAGCAAGGTGGGTTATCTTATTCCAGGGCATGTAGTATGTGAGAAAACATGGTGAATAGCAGTGACTGGGCCTGCTTTTACCTAGTCCTCTGTGCCCACAAAAATGCTCCTTTCCTGCCTAACCACCCCATGGCAGTTGGCCACTACTGAGTTTGCAGGGCAATATATGTCTTTGAGTGCATTGTACTAGGCAGCGAGAAACATTAAGGCTTAGTATGACTTAGCACAAACCTGCACATCATCTCCTGATTAGCGACCATCATGGTAGAAGAGAAACTGGTCGCTCACATGTTTTAAGTGATCGTTCCAAGCTTTTGGTTTCTAACCCATGGCATTTCATGATGGCTGGAAAGCGCTTTCTACAGAATTAGGCCTAGAAAACTTCAAGTAGAAAGTTAGAAACAGGACTGCTCAGAGCAGTGGCTCATGTATCATGAATGATCTATCACCTCTCTCTGCCTAGGAACGTGCGCCTGAGGTAGGGACTTTCTCTAAATGAACCCCTGACCTACCACTGTTGTTGGTGAGGTTTTGAAGTGGTGATCTGGAGGGTTCCTTTAGTTAATAATTGCCTGCGAACACAGGACAAGACTCAGTAGCCTAGAAGGCTCTTCCAGCCCTGTATTCTTACAGGTCAATGATGTAGTCCCTGCCCCAAAGCATTTTATTGTTCACTCTTGCACAGCAGTTTGAAAGGAAGGAACCTTTGCTGGCTTCGGGTCCTGGACTAGAACTGGAATGACTTGGGTATTCTGTTCTCGGCTCTCGCACCCTTCGGATAATGGTTTTCGTCTCTTTGTGCTTGTGTTTCTCCTCGGTAAGAGATCTCCTGATGTGCGATTGTTGCAAGGACCAATTCATGAATGCTTGTGAGATGCTTGGATACCACAGGCATATTGGATTAAGGATTCTCCCATGGGCGAGAGGAACAGAAGCTTCAAAATTCGGATCAGAAATTTGAAATTGGCAGTAGTTTGGGCTTGACTTACTGTGAACATGCCAATATTGTATAACACCTGTCCATCTCATGCTCTTGGGGGGCCCTGGATCAAGGCTTTCAGTTCAGGCACTTTTTTGAGCACCAAGTCTGGGTTCCCTACATATCCTTCCTTGAGGAAAAGAGGCTAATTTCCCTCTTTTTCCAGCAGTCTTTCTCTGCCATTGGTGACATGCCTACAAGACAGCACCCTGAAGCCACAGAACCATAGTATCCCTTTGGGTCCCTCAGTCTAATGGGAGGGATACAAGAGTGCGACTTTTGGGAACCTCCATCCAAAGGGAAAAGCTTTCCCTATGCAGAGGTATAGGCCATCGTGGGAGTTTGATATTGATGCTCTTCTCTATTTTGCGGACTGTGCTGACATCTGCTGGATGCTAATGAATCTGAAGACCTTGTAAACTGAGCCATGTGACTCCCTGAAAGCGATGATCTCTTAGCCTGCAGGGCCTTGAAACATGATGGAGAAGGGCTCTGAACCAGGAAGCAAGGCTTATAAGAAACTCTCCTGTAGAACAGGAACATGCCTACCCCTAGCAGAGTCAAACTTTCGGGCTTGCTGCCATTTTCTAGTGCTCCATTTAAGCAACATTGGCATCCATGCATCTTTCATCGAAACAATGAGTTCCGTTCTCTAAGAAGACTGCAGCCGGAAACTCTCTCCTAAGGATATTTGTGGGCCCTGCTCTTCATCTGTATGTGCATGGGGGTAACTGTTCCCTCACTCCTGTGTGTAGGAATGGTAAAAACATTCCCATCTATTCCCGCTGCCCCCTGTAGCTTCAGCCATGCTGCTTAATGGAAGCCCAAAGGGGAGATGTCATGGGAGACCATGTCAAGATTAAAATGCTGAATGGGACTGTAGCCAGAAAAAGAGTTGGAATGTCTCCGATTCCCATCACATCATTGGTTGTGTCATTTCCACCGTCTGTGACCACAAAGAAATTGAACTAAAGCATCTCGCCTTGTTTACAAAAAATTTGAGCCAAAGCTCGTGGAAGTCGGAGGTAAAATTTTAATCAAATTTGGAGGCTTTGGATCAGAAATATTTCAATTTGAGACAACCTAGTGGGCTGGGGTAAAACAAGTTTAACGCAAGAAGCAGAGTACTACTGCTGTCTGAGGGTATGGGGGTGCTTTTTTAAACGAGGAAAGCAAATTAAGGATGATACCAATAAGGCATAGACAGTAACAGCCATTGGAGAGTTTATGGCTTAGCTCATCTAAGTAATGGCATTAACTAATGGTTAGAAGAGTAATGGTGTTGACCCCACTGGCCTGGCCAAGTTCCAATTCAGGAAAGTAAAGTCTGCTTTCCAAAATTTGCTATTTCAAATGGACACGCTTCCATTATGATCAGAGGTCTAGGAAATATGACCTCTGAGGGCACACAAAGAGTTGGGTTTTGTTTAGTCTAGAGAAGAGGAGATTAAGAGGAAATGTGATAATAGTCTTCAAATATGTAAAAGGTTACTGTAAAAGAGGAGGTTAAACTATTCTCCTTGTCCGCTGGGTGAGAAGTAATGGGCTTAAATTGCAGCACAGGAGATTTAGATTAGACGTTAGGAAAAACTTTCCAGCCATATGTAAGCACTGGAACAGATTACTGAGGGCGGTTGTCATTGGAGGGGTTTAAGAAGAGGTTAAACTAACTGCTGTCAGGGGTGGTTTGGGTAGAGTTGATCCTGCCTTGGGGCCCTGGGGATGAGCTAGATGACCTCTCGAGACCCCTTCCCTCTTTATTTTCTATGGTTTGCCGCTTATCTAATGCTGCTGTTTCATGCTACAGAGCTGCAGTAGGGGGAGATGTTTCATGCCAAAAATGCTTTTGGGGCAAATCACACCAGTTTAAAAGAGGAGTACAGACTGGGCAGGATGCCTTGAACCCAGTACGAGTGTCCTAAAGAAGAAATTGCAAGCACTTGGTTATCTTACACATGATATACAGTTTGGATTGCGAAGCTCCTTCCCATGAGATCTCATTACAGCCAAGAGCTCTGCAGCATTAAGCAAGGGCTGGGTGTTTTTGACAAAAAAACCCCCAGCATATTCCTTTAAAAAATATACTCTTAACCAGTCTCTGGATCCTGAGGCTGGCAGGGGACTTTCCCTAGGGAGAAGTGAGATCAAAGTTTCCTACTGCTTCCTGTGCAGTTTGCCAGTAGTGGCCCCAGTGAGCAGCCGCGTACTGGACTGGGGGAAGGCTGGTCTGATCTGCTCTGGCAGGTCCTGTTTGTAAATGAGGATTTAAATCAGTGGATCTGTATTTACAGTCTCTCTCAGTGATGTGCCTGAGAAACATGGAGGTTACTGCAGGCCTGTGCCTTCACCTTTGCTCAAAGACGGATGCTGAGTTCAGATGCAAACTCCTCTCCCCCTTTCCTTTTGTAACAAGGGGCAAGGAAGGATGATCAGATGATGATGGCAGCTGCTGGGAAGCGGAGCCCTGGGTTTTCCCTCCCAACTCCCTAACCTTAGGAAAGCCTCTTCACTGCCCTGCTCCCCTCCCAATCTTAGGCTTAATTTCTGTTAGTCTCCTACTCCCCCTCTTGCCTCCGAGCAGACTGCATCTCTTGGGAGCCTTTCCCTGGGTGGGTGGGCTCTCTAGCTAGACCAGACAGGCGGGTAGGAGCTCCTAGTGCCCTGTTTGAAGGCTCCTAGTGGGATTTTCCCCTTTGTTCTCACCTCAGCAGAGCCGGGGGGTGGGGGGGCCCAGGCGGGACTGGATTTTCCTAGTGCAGAGGAGAGGAGCTGCCTTCCTGATACCATCAGCCCTTCCCCTAGCTCAGAGGCTGTCCCCTTCCAGATGTTGGGTGTCCCCTTCCAGGCATTGTGTGTCCCCTTCCAGATGTTACATACCCCCTTCCAGGCATTGTGTACCCCCTTCCAGATGTTGGGTGTCCCTTTCCAGATGTTGCATACCCCCTTCCAGGCATTGGGTGTCCCCTTCCAGGCATTGTATACCCCCTTCCAGATGTTGGGTGTCCCTTTCCAGATGTTGCATACCCCCTTCCAGGCACTGGGTGTCCCCTTCCAGGCGCTGCATACCTCTAGATGTTGGGTGTCCCCTTCCAGAGGTACCAGCTGCCCACCTGCCCCTCCCACCATACTCTTTATATGTTAACCCCTTAAATAACAATGATTGTTATAATGGAGGATGATAATGGCCACTACACAGTGTGTCCCCCGCGGCCCCAGTACGCCGCGGGGGACACACGTGTGTACCTCAGGGGTGCCTACCACATTTCGGGAGCCCTGCTCCATGCTCCTGTCGCCCTCCAGCGCTGCCAACCCCCTCATCCTGGCTGCCCTCGTGCAGGCAGTGCTCGATGTCGCGGCTCCCCCCCGCGCTGCCATGCTGGGGAAGGGGGGACTACTTCTCGAAGCGCGTTGCGCCGCGGAAGGCCCTGGGGAGGGGCGGTGCTTCGTCCCTGCCTAGCAACGCCGAACGCTGCGCTGTCACAATCGGCACCCGGTGATGTAAACAAAGGCACATGGGCAGCCGCTGCGGCCAATCGGGCGGCGGGGGGCCCGCGGTGCGACCAATGGGAAGGCGGGGGTGGTGCCAGTGGGTGGCTCTGGCCGGGCATGGCCGTGGGCAGGGGCAGTAGCGGGCAGGATCCGCCCCGCGGGGCATAGAGGGAGCAGGGGCGTCCCCTGGCCTCCATGGAGCCGGGCTGGGTCCAGGGTTCTCCGCAAATGCTGTAGCCACCTGGGGGGAGCTCAGCGCCTGGCAGAGGGGCCGAGACCCTGTCCGAGCCCTCCGTCCACCTGCGCGAGACCCCCGGTTCTGCGTTTCCCGTGAGACAGCGACGCAGTCCGGGGACAGGCGATGGCGCAGATCAGCTTGTCCAAACTGGCCGACCTCTCCATTGGGACCCCGGAAACCGGACACGTCAATTTTACCGCCCTTCACACCTTGCTCCACGCCATCATCAAGCACCTCAACCTCCAGGACCTGCAAACGGAGATGCGGGAGGAGCCCGCGCCTCCGCCGGACAAGGGCCAACCGCGCCAGGCAGCGCCGCTCTACGCCGACCTGGAGAAGAAAGTGGCTGGGGTAGAGGCTCAGGTGCAAGACGTGGTGGGCCAGCTTCAGGGGCTGGAGAAGCAGCTGTCTGCCCTGGAGAAACTCCCGTCCGGGTTAGACCTGCTGGAGAGGGCCAAGAGCGGCGCCCAGAACGGGTCTGCGGTGGCCGACATGTGGCAAATGATGCAGATGAGGAAGAGGATCGAAGCGAACGAGAACGGCATCTCCAAGGTAAATCTTCCCGTGCCCTGCGCCAGCCCGCGTGTCTCGTGGTGAGGGCAGAGGAGCAGCAGGCGCCTGCTAGGATCGCAACGCTGACTGGGCAAGTCACTTGGCAGCTTTGTGTCGAATTGGGATAGCAGCATCCCCTGGTCTAAGGGATTAGAGAGCGGGAGGAAAAGTATTAGAGAGCCAGCCTGCTCGTGTTTCATGGGTCACTCGGCACCTTAGTACGTGTGTGTTGTGTCTGTGTACGCTGTTAGTGCTGTTCTGTTTTACTCTATAATTCCCGACGTTCGTCATTTCTAATGATAAGCATCGGGACTCCAGATTCATCTTAAGTGAAGTACAGTCTTAAGTGAAGGCGGTTCAATTCTATTAATGAAGGAAGAACACACCTGGAAGCCAGTCAGCTTAGGACAGCTGTTGAATCAGTAATGATGAGAGCTAAACTCCAAGGGGAAATAGTTTCTGAAAACCCAGAACCAGTTGCCTGTTCCCCGGTCTGCGTTCCCACCGCCTGGTGTACTGGGGAGTGGTGGGGTTTGGTGCGTGCTGTACTTCCAAGGCTGTATCAGAGGTGGGGGAAACGCAACTGGGTGTCGCACAGCTCTCCTTACAACTGTGACTTGTGGCATGAATTTTACAAGAGCTGCTCTGCACTGATTAATCTGAAGCCGCAAGAGAAATAAATTCTGGATTGCTGTTACCCATTTAGTTAAAGTGATGGATAGATGAGGAACCTCCCACCCTGACCCTCCCTAACGCAGTCCATGTTGTTAACTACGGGTGGATCCTTGTCTTCATTCATCTTGTCTTCGGTCTAGAGAAAGCGGAGCCTGCATTATTCTCCCTGGGTTTTCATTCTTCTTTGTAAACAATCTTTGTCGACATCCATTAGGCAGCGCTGAAAACTGAGCTAATGCTGAATTGCAAATTGTCCTCTGTTTTTGGCATGGGGAAGCATGGCTTTCTGGGTTTGCTCGGTTTCCAGCTCTACCCCATCCCTCCGATGTGACTTCTACAATAGTCGGGCCCTTGATGTTTATTCCCGGATCACCTGCAGCTCCTGTTCCTTGAGAGAGGCGTTATTTTGGATCTCTGAAAATCCAGCCTGTAAGCGCTGTCTGCCTTTGTTTCCCCCATTTGTAATGTGTGAATGATGCCACTAGTCTAGTTCGTAAGTTGTTGGGAAGCAGCTTAATTAATGTAATCAAGTGCTTCAGAATCTTTCTACTCCATGCTTCTCCGCCTCTTGAAGGCTCAGGTCAAGCATAGTACCTGTTCTTAACTTGCTGCGGGAAATCCCATGTATCTGTGTCCATGAAGCCAGTTTTCCTAAGGTGCACCCCAGGAGTACTGCTCTTCTGGTGTGGTTCAGTACCCACCAAGGTGTAGCAGCTTTAAGCCCACTTTATGGAAATGGGAGCCCCCTTCCTAGCCTGCTTTGAGGGCCTTATGGCTAAGGGCAAGCAAAACTCGGGGGCATCTGAACCCCAAGCCTCCAGGCTTGGGCCTGTGAGTAGGATGCCCGCTGAAGGATTTGGAAACATCTGAAGCTGCAGGTGTGGGTGATGTTTGCCGGTAGTAGGGCCACACATGGTTCTGGACTGGCTCACAGATTTGGAATTTGATTTGGCTGATTTGGCTTGGAGCACAGATATATTTAATTTAAAAACAAATTTTACTCCAGGTCTCCAATTGCATTGGCCTGGATCTCTCTGAGGGGTCCAACCTGCAATCTCCATTGAAATCAGCAGTGGATTTACAATAAAATCCACAGCAGATAGTATTGCCATCTCTCTTCCCATTTTGTAGCACCTGTGTCATATGTTATGTCCAGGTCCACATGGGCAAGGTAAGAATATTGCCACCTGCCTCTCTTCATAGTTTCATAGTTGTTAGGGGGCTGGAAGAGACCTTACAGATCATCAGGATCTAAAATTTTTTAGGCCCCCCTGCATCCGGCCCCCAGGCCACATTTTTCCCACCCCTGCTCAAGCACCGTACTTGAAGGGCTCAGGGTGGTGCTCCTCAGTGAGGCCCTCTCTTCTCCCAAATATTTCTCAGGCAGTTGAGATAATTAGATGTTAACAAATGGCAGCCCAAGGTGTCAGGTTCCCTCCTCCCACTTCCTGCAGCCTCTCTTGATCAGGCTCTGGGTGCTGTTCGCCCAGTGGTCTCGTTTCACACGCTCAGCAGGAGACAATTATTGTCCCTGCCGCAGCTCCCAGCACTGTCGAGGGTTCACGCCGCCTGTGTCGGGGCTGGGATGGGGGCTCCACACTGTTTCATAGTCTCATAGTAGCTAGGGTCAGGAGGGACCTGAACAGATCATCTAGCCTGACCCCCAGTTATTACTGGGGATCCTGCGTCTCCCTCAAATTCTCTTCCTCCTTCCTCCAGCTCTGACTGGATGGTGGATTTTTCTTTTCCTTTTGCCTTCCACGTGGTGTTTGGAAAGCAGGAGAAGGCCCTTGTCACTGGGTCTTTTTCCTCCTCTGTCTTCCCTCTGCTAATTCTGCCTCCGATCACAGCCTCAAACGGTGCAGCCCCCGCTCCCACGATGCACGCCCCACTCCTCCATCCTGTGCTCCATAACTGGGGTCTGCAACCCTGATGCTATATATTGGGAAATCTCCCTGCCTCCCAACTAGCTGTGGCTTGAAGTCTCCAAGCCCAGCTCAGAGAGGAGGGACTATACCCCTTGGCTCAGCAGGGACTATACTGTTTTTCTTAGCTCCTGCACTGGCTCCAAGGAGAGAGCATCTTCAAGGAGATAGCAGTAAAAAACCCTGTTCTCTGTTCCTTGGCCACACAAAACCCATAGCTCATTTTTTAGATGCCTCTAATATTTGTGTGACCTGAGCCTAGCAGCCATTCACTGCTGGAGGAAGATCTGGATGCTCCCTCTTGGCTGGAACCTGTTCCTGTGTAGAGGGCTGTGCTTGGGCATTGCTTATGGGTAGTGATGGGCACCACCCTGAGCCCTTCCAGCAAGTATAAGGTCACCCTCAGTTTGCTCAGGAAACAGCTGGTTGAAGTTAGCAGCCACTGACACCTGGATCATCTGCTTCAGGACTGCAGCTTCTGGAGCAGACCGTGGCATGGAGGCCAGTGGGCATGGATCTGATATGCACACAGGAGCCATGGGTCTGAAGTCAGCTGGCTGCCCCTAAAATGATGCCCAGAGGTGAAAGGGAGCATCGTGCTCAAAGACTTGCTCCATAGGAGCTGCATTGCAGTGGTGCTAGGGGGAACAAGGCAGCCCTAAGACAAAAAAAGCAAATCCCTGGTGAGTTATTCATCCCAGGACATGGCAGGTTTGGAGGAGAGGCACTGTATTTAAGGAGAAATTATCCCTTTTCTGGACCTGACAACAGTTCCCCTTGCATTTTGTATCAGTGCTAAGATTCACGTGACACAGCTATTCCAACCCAATCCCCCAGGCTATAAATGTTTAATTATTTGCTGTTGCTGCCTTTTTTGGGACTTAATGTACAGGCTGGATTAAACATGTCACTACTGTGGCCTGTGGGAGCTGAGCACTGGCTTCTAATTAGCCTTCAGAATGATTTCTGAATGACTCGCTTCATTGTCAGAGAGCTGATTTCCCACCCGTCACTCGGAGCCATGCTGACACCTTATCCTGTCTGAGTATAAGCCTGGGGCAGCCACTGGTTTGAGCCAAGAATGTCGTCTCAGCTAGGAAACAAAGGTCTAATTCTACCATGTGGGCACCCACACTGAAATCAATGGGAGCTGAGAATGCCCCACACCTGGCATGATTGGATCCTATAATGGCTTTGTGGAATGGTTTGATATATGCCGAGTTAATATCAGTGCGATAACCCATGCAAGGTGCCTGGTAATGGGCAACAATAAACCCCTAAGAGAAAAGAAGGCAAAATTTCTGGTCACAAAATTAGAATTTCCCACTGCCTAAGGCCAGCCTGTGAACCCCATGCAATGGGGTGAATTTATCCATGTGCACAACACTGTGAAGCTCTGAGGTCCTATGTTGGCTCTCAGCACAGGGGAAAACTGACCACTTCCCTTAACTAGTCCTCTGAGGAACTGCTCATTTAAGCAGCTACTTAGCCCTTTGCATAGGGGGCTCCCCATATAGCCTGCGGTGAATGTTCCTTTCCAGTTGTGCTTCCCAGTTCTTTCACATAGTTCATTGTTGATGTGGATCTAACACTTGGCCACAGTCATCTTCAGAAGCACTCAGCATGGTGCTCTGAGGCTTAGAACATGTCAGGACACTTGGGTCCCTTTCCTGCCTCTGCCACTGAGTCGTCTTGTGTCCTTGGGCAAGTCATTTTGCCTCCCCTTGCCTCACCTTTCTTGTCTGTAAATGGAGGAGAATCCCTCTCGCACCCCATGAGGATGAGATGATGCCACCTGAGTCCCTGCTCTGAGAAACTTGGTGTGATATAGAAATCAGCATGTCCAATGTAGGACTGGCCAAAGGGGGGATCAATGCTTTACTAGAGACCAGCACACTTTAGCACTCCAAATAGCTTCAAAGGGAATGCCCCTGCAAGCTGGAGTCCCTGCCACCATTGCAGCATCCAGGTGCCAACAGTAAGGCATGCCTGGCTCTTTATAGCCACAGTTGGAGGTGTTGAAATGAGGGCACCCAGTCCTGGCAGGTCTTAGAAATGCCAAGCATAACTGCTCACTGAGAGGAGCTTAGCATACCCAGCTCCCCTATTCAGCCAGTCCCTGAGACCTTCGGAGTGCTTTTCCTAGTGCCAGTGCCTGGTGACAGCAGGTGAATGCTACTGTCCCCCATTTACAGGGTGAAGAAACTGAGGCACAAGACAAGTGAGTGACAGCTGATAGGTCACTTCATGAGACCATGGCACAGACAGGAATAGAGTCCAGATCTGCAGTCTCCCCTGCTCCACCCCTGAGACAAGCCTGCAACAGCAGGTGTTGCCTGTTGAGCCTGGGCCACGGGAATAGGCCAAATCCAGCCCACAAATGGTTAAGTGCACTCATGAGGGGTTGGCACCAGCTCCTGAGCACAACAGTGGAGCTGGATACCAGCACATCTGGACCAGAGGCAGGTTTGTTGTGAGGTCAGGGTGCCAAATGCACATGAAAGAAAATGATCCCAGAGAGAGCAAGGTAGCGCCCAAGCTCTGGCAGGAGAAACCTGCAGAGCCCAAACTAAGCCAGGAAGGCAGGGGGTGAATGAGCAGCGAATGCCTCTGCATTGTGATGTCTTGGCACAGACTTGGGGGCATGTCTGCACTTGATCTCTCCATGCTTTGTTAGGTACCAGTGCACCATGCTGACCTCCTGTGGGCACACATGCTGGAGTGGAGGCCCCCTGCCAGGCACTGCCATTTAACCCCTTTGTTGAGTCTAGGAGGTCCTTGCTCTCCTGCCCAGCAGTGGGAAGCAGCCAGGATTAATGCAGATGTTGTCTGTTATTAGCTGCTATTCTCGTTAGTAGCTTTGCTGAGCACCCTACTGTGTCTGACTCCCCATTGGGAAGGATCACAGAATCGGGGTTCCCAGGGCTCACCTAGTCTAACCTGCAGGATGTCTTGATTATAGAGACTCTGCTGCTTTGCCCTGGTTCAGAAGCCCTTCCACCTCTATAAGCTGGCTCATTGGCAAGTCCCTTGCTCGCCTGTATCATGCCATCTGCACAGCATTGGCAGCTTGTGCCCACCTCGTTGGGTCCATCTCACGGTACTGTCAGTCAGGTGAGTGTTATTTCCCCTCTAAGGAAGCTGAGGCTCAGAGGAGAAGTGACTTGCCTTCAGTCACACAGCCAAGACAGTGGCAGAGCTGGGACTAATGGCTCCCTGCCCTGTACTAGACCTTACTGTGGCATAAGAGGTGTCATAGACTCACACCCCCACCCGCTCCATTTCTGTTGCAGTCCATGTCTCTGTTGCAAGATCTGCTGAACGAGGTCAATGGTGTGAAGATGGCTCAGGCCTACACAGACAACAAGATCAAAAAGATCAAGGAAAAGCTTGGCTGGGTGAGTCGGTGCCCTGCCACACTGAATGGCCAGCCTCCCTCCTGCTGCTCGAGGGGAGAGGTCCCCTTGGTGTCACACAGAGGGGAGCTGAACTGTCCCCTTTCCCCTTAGGAAAGCCAAACACCATCCTGGTCCCTTGAGTCCACCGAGCCCTTGTTCCCTGACACCCCCATGTACCCGTAGGGCACCTGAGGCAGACAATATCACCCTGCTAGGACACTGCTGTCTCCTTAGGGCTCCACCAGGACAGGGCACTGCAGTGTGAGAACCAAGGTGATGGCTCCATCTGACAAGCCGAGGTTGCCAGGGAAAGTAAGGACATTGGGACGAGGCCTGACAGCAGCCCCTCCTCATGTAGAGGACATCATGCAGCACTGCGTAGGGGTGGGAGACAGCCAGTATCCTGCTAACTGCTGAAGAAGCAAGTGCTTCACAGATGGGGTAAGGGAGCCCAGCACTGGACAGCAGACAAAGGACCTGTCCATGCCCCTTTAAAGACTGCAGCAAGGAGCCATCCTTCCATGCCCACAGGGGAGTGAGTCCCCAGGGAGCTTCCTCCTGACTAGTGCTGGCCTTGGGTCTCTGCAGAGAAACGGCTGTTGCCAGGCGGGAGAGAAGCTGAGCCTCGTGATGAAGCCACGGGGATGTGGCAGAGGCTGGCTGTACCCAGCTCACTGCTCACCCCAGCAGGGAATCCCCACCGCGGCCAACTGAGGGGACACTTGCATAATGTGCTGTCTCCCTGTGGGGACACAGCATGCTGCAAGGGCTCGTGGCTTTTTTGCAAGCCTCACAGGGGTTGGCACAGGGAAGGAATAAACATCTCGTTTCCTAGAGCGTGGAGAGAGAGAAGCTGAGGGGCGGCCAGGGCTGAGCCCTTGCTGTGCATTACATGCTCCGTGCCTCTGGCCCAGCTACCAGCTCTGCCCTCATCCCTCTTCCATTGCTGGTGCTAGCCTTTCAGCTCCTTCCTCTCCTATTGGCCTTTTCCTGTTACTCAAACTTCTGAATGAAAGAGATTGGAGTAAAGTTGACTCCAGGCTCCTTTCTCCACCCTTGTGAATAAAAGACCTGTGCTCCACCAGTCCGCCCCCTTTAAATCCATTTCTGACACTCGCTTCTTCCATGCCAAAATCTATGGTGGTGAGCGCCAAAATGATTTGCAAGGAACTTGGTCAAGTTCAGTGATTTAGACATCTGAGGCTGGGCTTGGAGGTTTTTCCTTGGAGACATTTTCCGTGGATTTGGTACCCATTATACATCCCCATCTGTATGCAACACTATGAATTTAAAAGAACTCGTTTAGAGTGGTGGTTTTACTTGCCTGCTGTGTCTTGAAGGGCTGTGACCAAGACCAGAAAAACCTATCCTATGTATAAACATCTCGCCTTGTCCTAGTTTTTAACCCTAACTCACGACTGACTTCAAACTAATACAGCTAACTACCTCTCTCTAGTTTTTAACGCCATTTTAGATAATCAAACCAGAAAGGGACTTAAGAAAACAAAAACCCAATTCAATTATGTTGTTCCCTTCATATGCCTGTAGATGGTTTCACAAGACCTTACTCAATTTTCTGGGACATTTACTGATCCATTTTGCACTTCGTTCACATCATTGGTCTCATTAGTTTTGTTTTCTATTTATAGGCTCATTTCATGTTCAACCCAAAGTTGGTTGTGTTGATGTTTCTAACACCAGGTTACAGAATCATAGGAAAGTAGGGCTAGAAGGGATCTCATGAGGTCATCTAGTCCAGGTATGTTTGAAAGGATACCATCCCCTTGAGCCTATGTTTTTGGCTTCTTTCTGCTATCAAAGCTTACAAATTCACAAGAACTGAAGCATTTAGACTCAAGGAGCACTCCTGTGTGTCTCTTCTTGCTTAGTTGGTAAATCCCTTGGCATACCTGACCCTGAGGCAGTGCATCAGAAACCCAAGTGACACCTCCTGAAGCTGGGCCTAGTGTGCCAGGGACCCAAGTGACACCTCCTGGAGCCTGGGCAGGATTGCCAGAGACCCAGGTGACACCTCCCAGAGCCTTGACTGGTGCACCAGAGACTCATGTGACAGCTCCTGGAGCCTGGCCCAGCGCTTCAGGGACCCAAGTGGACATGCCTGTGCCTCAGACGGCTGCCCCAGCAGGACCTCCAGGAGACTGGACATAGTCAGTTAGGCTCTTTCAAACAACAGTGGAAGCCAAAATGTTTCACAGGCAGGAAAATATGAATGGGAAACCACCACTTGGGAAGTGGACCAACGGAGAGGTGCAGGAGCTGAAACAGCATTTAACTTGGCTTTTAAACAAACCACATTGGAAGCTGAAGATGCTGGTGCAGAGGAGAGAAGAATATAAGCCGCTATGTATATTGTGTATGCAGGCACGTATATGCACAATAGAGCTGAAGTTTTCTCTCTAAATTGGCCATGCCCCTTTTAAAGCATTCCCTCTCCATCTCATACACATACACCCAGTTGCAGAAGGCTGACTAACTTCCCTTTCTTGCCTCCTTTTACAGCTAAATCCCCAGGAAGTTGACAGTCAACTGCAGGTCTGCTTCATGGATCAGAAGAATCTGAATACTGATTTGGTATGTTCCTGGGCAAAAGGCCTTATTTTTTAGTTGCCAGGTCTTTCCCAAGCTCTTTCCTTGACTTTTTTTTCCACTTAATCCTTCCCGGTCTTCCTTGCTTCTCCTCCCTTGTTATGCATCTTATTTTCTCTGGGTCTTCTGACTCAAGGTCAGAATAAGAATCATTAAGGGTCACATCCTGAAAGGTACTTGGCATCTCTGGTGCTTAATGACTTTGATGCCCAGCCTGCCTCAGGGTCAGGTTTTAAGATGATCTGTGCACCTCAAACCACTTGTAATAGGAGTCAAGATTTGGCTAGGTTTCTATAGTGTCCTCCTTCCTAATGATAGAGGAGGAACAACTCCAGGTTGATCCATATGCCTCTCTTGGTTCCCCCCCTGCCACCATGAGATTGTTCAAAGATAGGAAATGTCCCTGCTCCTACGAAAAGGAGTGATGGGGTAGACAGCTCAGGAAGATCTCCTCCATTGTGGAATCAAGGATGCTGTTCCTTTCCTTTTGCCTTTGCCTGGCTCTGTGTTTTCACTGCATCTTTATTGATCAGTCCCAGAATAAGTCTGAAGTTCATTTTATGGAACCTATGTTCCCTGTCTACCTATCATCTAGGGTGATTCCTGACTTACTAGTCTCCAGGAGTCAGTGGAGAAAACAGCAAAGTCCCTTTCTGAGAACAGCAGTAATACAGGACATAGAACCATCCTTATGTACATGTGTTGGTTTTGGTTGTTTTTCTCTAGAAAAGTCTAGAGCAAAGACTGAGCCTCTATCCAAGTCCAGAAGAACTGAGTAACCTGGTGCGATGGGAAATTCTGGAAGACTGCCTCGTGACAAACAAAGGCAAGACCCCACCTTCTGTGAGTGTTTCATTCAGAAGTGGCTGGTGGGGTGAGAATCTATACTTGGCCTGTTTCCCTACTTCCGCAGAGACAACAACTTTAATAGAAGGGGAGGGAAGGGAATATATAAATCAAGGCCTTTCCCTGTCCCCTGGAGGTTTGGTGCTGAAGGATTTGACCCATGTTTGCTGTTGAAAACTTGCTTTCAGGAATGTGTAGCTCCGATGCCATGAATGGTCCTCAGTGATCAGACTGGGATTTGTACTTGAGCAACCTCATAGCTAACAGAGAGTTTGTTTGTTATGGACTGTGCATGGATCTATGCATGTCACAGCTGTCTACGTCCCTAGGGCCACCCGTGAGTTGTTAGGGAAGCCCCATAAGTGGTTAACTTACCACATAACCTTCTACAGCACCATGCAAGTGCCATCGTTATTAATTAACCATCTTGTAGGAGTCACCGTGTCATTAGTGCGCCATGTAGGTAGTCGAACAAAGTTGTATGCCCACAAGCCAGCGTTTGAATGCATGGGTATATTGTAGAGCAGCTATGCAAGGATTGACTGTTTTAGGCAGATTCAGTGGGGGCGTTAGACATAATTATCAGCATTTTAGCAGTTCCAGAAAATAAGTGAAAAACATGTGAAACTGCAAATCCTGAAACACTGATATGGTCTATCAAGCCAAGGAAGCAATTATGGATCTTCTATGCTGGTTGGTATTCAGCCAGATCCTTCACGATCACTCAGATTACCTACTGAGATCCTGCGATGTGCCTCAGGAGGGAAGAGCTGAGAGGGCAAATTGCCCCAAAGGAGTCCAGTAGCCATGGCAGTTCGTTTCAGGACTTGCTTCAGAGCGCTCTGGTTCTAAGAGCCAACAGGAGCCAAAAAAAGCAAAACAAAAAATCAAACAAACCATGAAACCTTTTAGGCAACAAGTTAATTGATCAGTTGGGAGCTTCTGTTCCATGGCTAACCTGCAGTGAAATAATCCTGATAGCCTTTCTGGTGCTGCTGTTTTTTATGTCAAACACTTTATGAAATGAACCTGTATCTTAGAGAGACAGGTGCGTCTACACAAGACGGTAACAGCACAGTAGCCTCATTTTTCAGGGCAAAACCCATGCTAATAAGCTACTGCACAGTATTGTTAGGCTACTGTACAGTTAGCATCACTAAACTGCATGGGTTACTGCAGTGCACCAGTTACTGTGCACTGATTTAGTATTTGGTCATCCAAGGACTAAACTTAATGTACAGTAACTACAGTGTATTATTGAACACACAGATGCACCCACAGAGATCAGCTGTGCTCTTGTTAAGATTGAAAACCCTTTTTTGTATAATAGCTATCTTTTCAAAAGATTTACAGGTATCAAAAGGTATGTGCCTCCTGAAAGTGCTGGTTCAAGATAGTGATCCAAATATAGGCCCAGTACTTGAGTTTGACACACAAACAATGTTTTGCCCTCCCCGCTTTTTCCGCCAAGACCTGGGAATCAAACCCTAACTCTAGTCACATCTAACATGGTCTCAGTCACTCAATCTTTATTCTGTCTAGCACATGGTATCCATTGCCCCTTTGGGGAGGTAAAATGGAAAGTAGTATGCAGATGAGTTTAGCACTCTGCGTGCCCAATTCCCAGGCTCCACACTGTTGGTAATGCCTGAGAGCAGCTGGGAGAGTTTGGAGCCAGTCCATTTTCACATGACCTGGGTGACTTCAGGATACATACTGTGGCCATCAAATTTGAATCATGCCCAGGCAATGTCAGTTTTGGGCTTTAGGCTTAGTCTACATGAGAGTCTTGCTAATGGTTAGCCAGCACTCCCAGCTGTGCCCATGGAAGGAGGATTCTGCTATCAGAGCTGCTGTCATTGCAGGAGGTGGTGTCGTGAAGCCAGCAGAAGAAAACCCTTCTGCCATCACAGGGAACCCCCTCCAGGAAGCTCTACCACCATAGCTCCTCCAACAAAGCTGTGGTGGCAGCAGCCCTACAACATAAACCAGTTCTTGCTCTCTACAGGCACAAATAGCTGCCATCTGCCTCCGTTAGGTTGGGTTTTACTTGAGGGAGATGTAGCTCAGCTATTTTGTATGTTGATGTCTGCCAGAAAGGGGGTAGGGGGGGAGGGCAGAGGTAAGACTAAAGGGGTAGAGGTTTTGGGTGGTGGTAAGGAGATGGAGGCTTATGGAGAAGGGAGAATGAATGGAAGGGTTGAGTGAACCAAGCCAAGAGGAAGGGATAGAGATTGAGGAGGATGAGAAGAAGGGCAGAACACTGAGTTCAGGGATGGGAGCCTGTTGATCAGTCCCACCTCTGTGTACTGGGATCCAGAAGACCCTCAGCCTCTTTGAGGGGGACAGGGTTGAGCTTCTCTCTCTGTATGTGCTGGGATCTGGAGGCCACCATTCCCTATAGGGGTTTTGAAGCTCCTCTCCATTCTGCTGCTCCGCACATTAGTCTCCATTCTGCTGCTCCCCACCTAATGTGTGCACCAGATACCTGTGTCCCTGCCCTTCTGGAAGTGTGAGAGACCTTCTTCCTCTCACCCCACTGTGAGCCAGCCTCTGAGAGAGCCCAGCCCTTCTGGCTACAGAGCTGAGAAATGACCACAGACTTCTACAGCTGCTGTTTCTCTCTCTAATAACAAAAGAATAGCACATGCTCTCGAAGGGGAAGCATGGATGGGCTCGGTCTAGAATGCCCCTGCCCCCACCCCTGCTGCTTGCTCTGTGGCAGTGCCCCCCTGTAAATCATTTTCCTGTTTGCTCTGTTTCCAGGCATCCCAGTCTGTGGAGACCATCATAGGCCAGACTTCTCTGACCAGACACCCAGGTTTAGCCACTGACACCCCTGCCAGGAAAGCCTCCGCCATTGGGGTGGGGGCTTCAGGGAGCCAGGTGGACTCTCTCAGAACTGCAGGGGGTACTTCCAGGATGCAGGCTGGTTCTCCTGGAACCCAAGAGAGCACCCCATCAGTTCCGACCAGGATGGCTGGATCGCGGGGAAGACCTCCCTCTGTGTCGGGAGGGACCTCCGAAACTAGGGCAAGCACCCGCTCTGTGGCAGGAGGGACCACTGGGACCAGAGCAAGCACCCCCTCCATGCCATCAGGGAGCTCTGGGACACGAGCCAGCACCCCCTCAGCACCGCCAGGGACCCCTGACACCAGGGCAAGCACCCCCACCACAGAGATCTCAGGGGCTCAGCCCAGGGCTTCAGAGGCCCAGGCAGGTGGTCAAGGAATCCAGCTAGGTTCCCCTGGTGCTGGGCCCAGTTCCCCAGGGACTCAGACTGGGCCTGCTAGAGTGTCACCTGGGGTTGTGGGGACCCAGGAAGGTGCTCCTGGGATGGATGTTGATGAAGTGTCTCCCAGTGCCTGGCCCAATGCCCCAGGGACACCAATGGGGGCTCCAGGGACTGAGGTGGGACAGCCAGGCACTTGGCTTGGCTCACCAGTCACTCCAGGGATCCAGGCTGGGGCTGTTGCTCCGCCAGTTCAGGTGGATGGTCAGGCAGGGACTCCCAGAGCCAGGCACTGGGCTCCAGGACTTCCAACAGGTGTGCTCGTGACTCAGATGGCTGTTCAAGCAGGGGCTCCCAGCACACCGGGGATCCAGGTGATGCCTTCCAGAGTCGGGCCCAGCATGGCAGGAACCCAGGTGACACCTCCTGAAGCCTGGGCTGGTGCACCAGGGACCCAGGTGACACCTCCTGGAACCTGGGGTGGTGCACTAGAGACCCAGGTGTCACCTCCTGAAGCTGAACCCAGTGCACCAGGGACCCAGGTGACACCTCCTGGAGCCTGGGCCGGTGGACCAGAGACCCAGGTAATGCCTTCCGGAGCCTGGGCCAGTGCATCAGAAACCCAAGTGACACCTCCTGAAGCTGGACCTAGTGTGCCAGGGACCCAAGTGACACCTCCTGGAGCCTGGGCAGGTGTTCCAGAGACCCACATGACACCTCCCAGAGCCTTGACTGGTGCACCAGAGACTCATGTGACATCTCCTGGAGCCTGGCCCAGTGCTTCAGGGACCCCAGTGGACATGCCTGTGCCTCAGACAGCTGCCCCAGCAGGACCTCCAGGAGACTGGACTGGTGCTCCTTCAACTCCATTGGCCATCCCAGGATCCCAGGCTGGGCCTCCTGTAGCCCAGCCCAGCATGCCAGGGCCCCAGGCAGGCTCCCTAGCATCTCCATTGGGCACCTCAGCATTACAGCCTATGGCACCTGCAGCAGCATCCTCCTCTGCCACCCAGCTTGTAGTTCCATCTGGGCCTTATGTCACCCAAACCCCTTTGGCAGCATCTCCTGAGCAGAAGGACAAGCTCGGAGCCACCGTTTCTTTCCTACGTGAGTCCTCTGCATCTAGCAGTACTGCCAGCCGCTACAGCGAAACCATGGAGGCCCTGCGCCAGATGGGGCAGCTGGCCAACCTCTATGCTGCCCTGAAGGAGCAGGTAAACCAGCTGGAAGAAACCAAATGTACCTACTCAGACCTCAACAAGCTGAAGCAGCTCCTCTTGGATGCAGGTAGGGCATTCCCCCGCATCCGGTCCTTTCCTCACAGGCTTCAGACCTTGGGTTGCGATGCAGGCAAATTCCAGGGTGCTCTTCAGGGTCCCAGGTGCCACTTTAGGGAGATCTGGCCTACCTCTCCACACCTACAGGGAGACTGAGAACAGTGTGAATTACCATTGAGTTATGCTGCCAGTAGGTTTCTACTAGATGTACTGGTGAGCAGCACTGTTAATAGCTAAGGGTGGTTGTCCTCCCCCACACTGGATCCAAAGCAGGTGGCCATGCTTAATGCTTGGGGCTGGCTATCCAGTAAGCAAGTACCTCATAGTTTCAGGCCACCACACACTGTAATGGCTTGACTAACCTGAGGGTGATAAATAATCAGCTGTGTGACTCACGCCCTGACTTTCACGGGGGCCTTTGGTTCAGATCACTGTGGGTAGAAGTGGGCTTTCCCTCCTCTTTGGATCATTTTCTCATTCATATCAAAGTATCTCGTGGCATTTCCATGCCATGCCTTGGCATGCCCCAAAGCCATACAAGAGTGCCCCAGTAGGGCTGGGGGGCTGGCTAGGGAGGGGTGCTGGGATGAATTCGATTGCATAGGTGAGCTCACACTGGTTTGGAGGCTATTACTGGGAATCTTCTTGGATGTAGCTGCTTTCAGGGCCTGGCACTGCACTAAGCCATGTAACCAACCCTGCAATATTTCCTTGATGGCATAAAGCCCGGAAGAACGTCCCCAGCCTCCCTGCTGCTGTCCTGGACCAGCTGTCATCCTTGAAAGACATGGCAGAGGACATGAGAAGCACAAAGGAGAAGGTTAGTGGGTGGCATACTGTCTTGGGAGCTAAGCGGGCAGGGTTGAGACAGGTCTGATTATGTAGTCTGTGAAGCTGGGAGGTTGGCATTGGTGAGGCTGTCTTTGTGGTCAAGACTCTGGCATGAGTCTTGGAAAGCAGGAATTTGATTCCAGGCTCTTAACAGATTCTCTTGGGTGAATCACTTCATTCCTTCAATGACATTACCTTTTGTCTGGTCTCCTTAAACTAGAAGCTGTTTAGGGCAGAAACTCATACTATATATCTTCTAAATGCCTACCACAATGGTTTCACGTGCTCAGCTGGCTTCTAGGCACCATATGAATAGAAACAACAATAACAAGCAGTCTGAATGGAGAAAAGCCCTAGAAAAGAAGGGCAAAAGGGTGATATTGGCTTGTGTCTCCCAATCCCTAGGAAAGAGAGGCCCGTCCTCTTCAGAACCCCCAGCCAAACCCACCTGTGCTGCACTGCTTGCCAAGGGTCCTTTTCTACTGCTGAGAGATACTGAATTGTCTTGCCTTTTGTGTTCAGCTTTGAAGGGAGAAGACAACTGGGGCGGGGGCAGGAGTATATGTAGCTTTCTAGCTACAAATATATGAATTGAAGGTCCGATCTTCTGGAGACTTGCTCTAAAATGAGTGTGTTTTATGTTAAGCCATTAAGCTCACCTTAGTCCTTAACACCAGGAGGTCAGTTCTGGTGCAAATCCTTTGAAATGAGTGGAGTAGCAGCTACTTGCACAAGGGTGGCTTCTGGCTCTGGGTGTTTTTGATGGGTAGTTAAACCCAGCACTGCCAGAGGGTGGGTGTCTGCCCACTGGGCAGAGGTCCATGCAAGCAGGCCTATGCCCTGGAGTCCTGACTCTTGACAGCTGTCGTGGTTCTAGATAATCAATCTGCAGAATGTCTTGGAAGGAGTGGAGGCTGCAGGAGCAGGCCAGAGCGCGGAGGAATCCAGTCAGATTAACCTGCAAGTAGCTAAACTCAGGTAAAAGGAAATGACAGCCGGGGATATGTTTCCTTGCCCATTTTCTCCTGTGTAATGGGCTTCACTAGCAGGCCCTGCTGCCCAGGATCTAACAATGGGACTGAGGTCTGGACTCTGATATACACGTAGATGGAGTCCAGGGCCCCAGAGGATGCACCATTTTCTGCTGTGCAGTTGATAACTTATCAACTGCAAACTGTAGTAACTAATTGTCACCCACGTGGTTCATACAAGGCAGTGCCTGCACTGATCTAGGACTGAACTCCTGTTAACTGGTCCTAGCCCAAATGGCCCATGAAGAACAAGGCTGCTGCCTGGTTGCATACCCCATAATCAGTGGTCCATGTCCTAGGGGCTTATGCTGAGCTGAACCACCTAGCGTTAAAGATTGTATGTCCAGGGCTGACCATGCTAACTGGCATACGTCTCCCTTGGCTTGACTTGGAACTGAGTGAGCTTCACCCACCATCCACCCAGAGGCCTGGTACTTCATGGAATTGTCCTGTATTTGGTGACCCACATGCATTCATTCCTGTCCCTGGGTTAATATACTGTCATGAGCAGTCGTGGGTCCCTCTGGGACTGAACAAAGACCTGGACTATAGTAATTTAAAACTGGGCAGTGGTAGCCATAGTAACTGAAGGACCCTAGGCCTGGCTCTGGGTTTGACTAGGTTTTATACAAAGTAAGATGTGCCAGGATGACCTCTGTAGCTAATGTAGCACACCTGGGGGAAGGATACTGGTCAGAGCAAGAAGGCACATTGTTAAGGGTCTGTAAGAGGGCACCAGCACCACAGAGTTGGGGAGGGGGAATCACCAAAACAGGGCAGATAGGGAGAATTTTGTCAGCTAGAAATGGAGGATACACCTGGCGTGGGAGTGGGTTTTGCTAGGCAAGTCAGTCTTTAAAGGTGGAGTCATCTGTTACGTGGTGGGCTGGGGTCTTCCTGGGAGACTTCTGGGAGGTGTCTGGCCAATACAAGACCTCACTCCTTGCCCAGAGCACAGGGGCCTGTCCAGCCAGGCTCTTTCCAGGTGCCCAGAGCTGGCTCTGCATACCCATCCCCAAGAAGCTGGAACAAACCATAGGAATAACTGGATCCCCTGAACTGACCTGAAGTTGGCATGTGATATGTGGGTTTCTAACCCACAGAAGTATCTTCAAGCCACTATAGTAGGGAGGCAAATTCTGCCCTGAAGTTAAAGGGTGGGGACTTTGGGAGAGTTGTACCCAAGCTGCATTTGGTCCTGAGAAGGGTTCATGCCTTCCTGTGCTGTGTACCGCTCCCTGTCCCTGGCTGCTACCAGCCCCACAAGCAGCCTCTTGGCTCAGCGAGTGATCCTTTGTGGTGTTGGCTCTGTGGTCCAGATCGACGGTGAAGAACATAGAGAAGGAGCTGCGGAAGCTGAGAGAGAAGCAGGATCAGGGCAAAGCCAAACTGGAGCAGTCGGTGACCGACACAGCCCTCTGTCTCCAGGACCAGGTCAGGCAAGAGCCAGGGCCACTCGCTGGGTTCCCATTAAACCCCCGCTGCTTGGAGCTGTCTGAATGGTGTTTCTGGGCATTGGTCCCCTTGTGACTCTTCTGAGTTGTTGCTGCTGCCCTTTGTTATACAGTTATTTAGGGCATCAGAATCCTTGCAGGGGTTTTCTACAAGATTTCACCTCTTGAAGCCAGTGTCCTAACTGGGGCATGGCTACCTGGAGCTGGCCTCCCTGACTGCTGTTTCCATCTGTGAGCCTGCTGGGGAAGGACAAGAAGAGGGTGGACTCAGAAAAAACACTTCCTCTGGACCCTTAGGTTCACAGGGGAAGCATGGAGGAGGTGACAACACTCCCCTATCCCATGGGAGACTGCAGATCACAGCCTCCCAAATACCACAGGGATGGCTGTGGGCAGAGCTGTAGGGTCTGAGTGCACGTGGGGTAGATAAGCAGCCTTGTGCCACCAAGGTGTTCCCCCACTGAGGCACTTTGCTAAGGTAGCGTGGTGGGCTCCCAGCCAGTCCGGCTTCTGCAGTGCTTCTAGAGCTCTGCTCTGTGCTGAGCGGCTCGAAGAAGGGACCCTAGTAACAGCTCCTCCAGTGTAACAACCCTGAGGCAAGTAGCTGTGACCCCCACCCCTGGTTTTTAAGGATGTGTCCACACTGTGTGCTTGCTCCCTCTCATATGCTCAAACCCAGATATACAGTGGCAGGGTCGCTCCAGGGATGTCCATCCTGTGACCATCCCTCAAGACCTCTGTCTGCCATTCTTAAGACCTGCTTGAGAGAAGCAATGAGAGACACCCTCAGAACAGCTTCCCCGCAATATTTTTGGGTTTGGCTTGAATGAGCAGGAGTAGATGGGCAGGAGTCTCCCTGCCAGACCATGCCAGGGACACAGCGTAAATGTACCTTGAGAGGAGCGTTGCTTCAGCTGTTCCTGACTGGAAAAGTTAGATCAGACGGTAAAGGCCAAGAATGGCTGAGACTCATCCATGGGTAACATAGGCTGCCTGAGGTGTTGCTTCTGCGCACTGGGGATTTTACCAACGGGTAGTTTTTGTGGCATCATATGGGTCAGGCAAAAGCAGACACTGTCCTTCCCTGGCACTGGTTGGCAGTGCCTGGGCATTAGAGAGTGCTGACAAACCCACCTTCTTCTCTCCCCTGCCTACAGTTAGACAAGCTTAGGTCTGTGATAGAGGGCATGATGGCCTCCTCCTCCACCTTGCTTTCCATGAGCATGCCCGCTGGCCCGGAGACCACCGAGCCAGCACTGCATGCTTCATGCCCAGCCTGCAGCATAGATGTCAGCGAGCAGGTTAGCCATCTGTTCAAACGCTATGAACAGCTCCAGGACTTAATTAACAGCTTCATGAAGCGGCGCACACAGGGCAAGGCATCCAAGAGGCCGCAGCTGAAGAGCCAGGTAAGGCCTGCGGAGGGAAATGCTGGGAGTTATTATACAGGCTTTCAGGAGGGAGCTGGAACCACCAGTCTGTACCGGGTGGAGCCAAAGAGTGTGAGAAAACCACTGCAGCAGGGATCTGAGCAGCAGGATATGCAGATAGCTGTTGGGAGTAGCTGAACCCTGAGGAGGAGGCAATAGGTGGGAGTCATGGTGGTGACCAGCTCTGCCCCTCTGCACCACACAGGAGCAGAGAGCTCCAGGCTTGATGGGCTGCCCTGTAGGATTTCTGGATCCTTGTCTGGTCTTGAGTCACTCCTGCTGGGTGGCCCTGTGGATGGATGCCCTGATCCTGGGTTTGGCGGTCACAAATCAGAGTGAGCCTGGTGCTTTGTGGCCTGGGTGGAGCCAGCGCTGTGTTCAGTGACCCTGGTCAGCACTGCCCACGGTACCAGACCTGTGTAGATTGGGTACTGGTAGGGTTGGCTGAAGAGAAGTTCTGGAAGCCAGGATAGGTGCATTGGCAGAGCCATGCACGGGGATCTTGAAGTATGCTGCATGTCCTGATCAGCAGAGCTATATCTGTGGGGCAGCTGCCCATTTCCTGTTGGGCACAGGCTCCAGGAGCTTTGGGGGAACCAACGTGGCACTCTGTTGATCCAAGCTCACGTTCTCTGAAATGTTTAAGGAGAAGAAAGAGCATAACAGAGTTGGAAGGGTCCTCCTGTCCAATCCCCTGCATTGATGCAGGATGCCCTGTCCCTAAGTTGTCCCAGAGATCTGCCTGTCCAGCCTCTTCTGGGAAACTGCCAGGGGTGGAGATTCCCCAGCAAGGAGCTGGGGATCAGAGTAGGTTTGCTGATTTGAGTCCATTGCAGTCATGGGGTTTCCATTTTTTCCTGTCTTTGATCAGTAGCCCAAGCCTCTCAAAACATCTGCATTCCCACCCCATGCTTGCATACACTGCTCAGTTTTCTGTGAGATCTACAAGCCATGGCAATGGGAACTCCCACTCCTCCTCCTTGCAATCAGGCACACGTATTACACAGGGAATAACCTGCCTCTGGCTTGATGCTATTCTGATCAGCATTTGGATGTAATAGAGTTGGAAAAAAACCGCTAAGGCATAACCCAAAGGGGAATGGGGCTCCACCCACCTGTATTGCCAATGAACAAGGAACATGGGATTAGAGAGGAAAAAGAGGCTAGCAGTGCTTTCCTGAGCATCAGTGGCACTGTTGTATTTCTACTCATCTGCTGTTTGGGATAACATAGCAGCCTAACAATCTTTGGACCTTAGCATCCTTACAGTGCAGCACTATGTGGAGCTGATGCAATGCTAAGACATTATCTCATTGATGTAATCTAAACTACATATGGGGCTGAGAGCCAGAAGTCTTAAATTCTGTCCTTAATTGTTCTGTCTGTTATCTTCTCTTTGCCTCTGTTTCTGACTCACTGTACGAATCTACTAGGGGAGACTATGAGGTTGGACTGTGGTATATTCTGAAGACACTATAGAGATGAAAAGGACACCTGAGGTAGTGGTTGGGATTCAGTAATTGTTGTCTAGATTCCCCAAATGGCAGGTAACCTTTTTTTATAATCTAGGATGGATTATCCAGCACCTTTCTACTCCCTGGGGTGGGAAGAGGTGGGGCCCTAAGGTGCAAGAATGATTTCCAGGGCTAACTGTTCAGCTGCAGCCTCTGGTTTAGCCTCAGAGTAGTCATTGGATCTGTAAAATGGGTTCATTTTGTACAAGCAGATCCAAGAGAAGGGTGAGCAGAGGTACTATCCCTGACTGCTGGTTTTGTATGTATAGATTGGGTACCTGATAAAACAACAATCGGCCTTGGGAAGTTTGCAGATTTTCCTCCCAGAGTAGGAGAATTTCCGATGGGTTCTGACTTGAGCCAGTTCCAATACAATCTCTGGGAGCTAGCACAGACCTCCAGACTGAAGATGCTCTTTCCTCAGATGACATTGCGGCCAGCTTTTGCCTGGTTTGTGTCCAGCAGGAGAGGGTGGATCCTGAACACCTCATACAGCATTTTGCTTGAGGGGGACTGGAGACTGGTTAGGTTTGGAGCATGGGGCATGTCACCTCCTGGTCATCGATTTGAATTGAGTAGCTGCAGCTGAAAGTCTGCCAGTGGATAACATGTGAGTGACTGACCGGGCAGTCTGGGTGAAGCATTTTGTAGGTCCTAAGCCCTATCTCAACATGGGCACAGAGGGCAAATTCATGGCAGTCCCAGTAGTGAGGGCAGTGACTAGCTGGACCAGGAGAGACTGAATGGTTGAATGTAAGTGATGGTGGAGGATTCTGATGAGGCATCACCCCGCTTGCCCAGGCTGTGTCCACTCTCCAGGCCTGGGTACCTGGCAGCACTTCCGTAATTATGGGGCCTTGTTTTTGTTTTCCTTCCTGTCTTTGAACCAGGATGAGGAGCTGCTGAATCGAATCCAAAGCACCATCATCAATGTGCAGGAAGACTGCGAGAAGCTCAACACTATCACAGGGAACCTCATCGAAGAGCATCGCCAGAAGCAGAAAGACATTGATGTGAGTGGCAGGCCTGGCCAGAGGGGCCAGGTATCAGCGTGGTCTGTTAAGTGTGATGAGTTTTAGCCATGCACACGTAGAAGTTAGGCTGTTCTTAGTGTTGCTCATTCTCATGATTCACCCTCATCAGCAAGCAGTGGGCAGTGAATGCCCCTGAGAGCAAAGAGATCCCAAGACAGGAAGAAAGTGTAGTCATGGAATATGCCTAAGCTTCACCCTTCTCATCCCCACCCCTGCCTTGCTAAATTTAATGGGGGTTTAAGATCTCTGAATCCTAGATGCCTTCAGGTGGTAACAGGGAGTTTGTGCAGTTGCTGGGAGGTGACAATGAATGACTGTGCAGTAGGTTTTCATCCCCTGCTCTCCTGTGTACCTTGCAGGTTCTGTTCCAGTCTCTGGAGAAACTGGAAAAGGAGAAAGCAGACAAGGAGCATCTAGAGATGGAAATCGATGTGGTAAGGAGAGGCACAGGCATTGGGTTAGATGGAGATTGCTACCATCTGTGCCTTCTGGCACAGTCTCAGGCAGGCAGAGTGAGATTACAGGTTCCCCCCAGGGGTGGGAGGCTGATCCCTAGCTTCAGACCAAAGATCTTGGATCTACTGCTTCACCATGGGCAGGTCTCTTGAGATCTTTGAGTACAGGTTTAAATGGGGCTAATGACACTTGCCAGCCCCTGTAAGTTGTTCAGAGATCAGCTGAAGGAAAGCACTAGATAAAGGCTGAGATATTATTATGTAGGATCTATATGATGCTTTGCATCCTCTCAGTGCAACATGAACTAATGAGACACATGCATGCATTCTCCCTATGTGTGTGTGTGTGTGTCTAAAAATAAGCCATGAACTGTACTGTGTGGAAGTTGGAATTGCCAATTCCAGCCTCTGATTTTGGTCCCTTGAGTGCTCTGGGTCCAAATGAACCACCATGAATTTTCAGATGTGCTGAGCAGCCACAGTTCTAACAGCGTTTAAGCCAAAGGAGACTCTAGTGTAGAGTTGTCCTTGAGGTAATCATGGGTGAGTTAGAGGGGTGAGCTCCGTCCCAGGTTTACAAACTCTTCTGAAAAACTAGAGCTGTATCTGCTTCAGTGAGGAAGCTCTCAATAAGGGGAAAGGGGCGAAGGATGATAGCTAAGACGAAGGATACAGCCATTGCTTGGAGCACCCAAGTCCTGACTGTAGGAGAGGGAAGTGTCTCCTCGGTAGGGAGGCAAAGTTTTTATGGTTCCACATCAGACTGTGGAACAAAAACGCACATCTCTTTCGAGCCCTGGATCCAGTTGAAGATCTTCCTCTTCCTTCCCTTTCATTTTTCTCCCTTGCCAGAAAGCTGACAAGATTTCCCTGGCTAGCAAAGTCAGCCGCAGCCAGTTTGATGCCACCCTGGAGCAGCTCAACAAAATGATCCAGGATCTGCTGAATAAGATGACAGGGCATGAGCAGGACTGGCACAAAGTGCTCGACAAGCTCGTGGTGGAGATGGACTCCAAGGTAAGATGTGTTCATTCACAGTGTCATAGCCCCAGTCAGTATGTCAGCCCTAGGTAGCCACGGTCAGGGCCTTGCCTGGTTTATAAGAGGGGGAGACTGGGAGCTTGTTCCTTTTTAAGACACCATAAATTTGCTAGAGCCACTGAGGTTTTATAGATATCTTTACACAGGGCCTGGTTCCCTGGTTTATATTGCCAGACCACTGCAATGAGGCCTTGATGACAACCAGGTTGTCAGTACTTATTTTTAGCCCTTTCTTCCTCTCCTTCTGTCATGGAGCCAGTCCTGAGTCCAGGAACAAAGCAGCTTGGCTCATGGATGCCATAAGAGAACAGGCTTTCAGGTCTCACATTGCAGGCAGGATCTGGCAAACCCATCTTGCAGGCTGCTGCTGGTCTCAGGGAGGGAGAAGAGATTCTCTGGAGTGTTTACCTTATAAACCAGGAGCCCTTCAGGACTGGAATGCTTTGCTTTGAGAAATGCCCCATGTTGAGCTGAATTTTCTCACCCTCTTCAGTCCCTCTTCCAACCTGTCATGGCCTTATGCTTCCCAAGTCTGTCCGCCATCTTCCCCCATGCCCAGCTGTGCCCCAGGCAGCCTCATGGCCTCCCTCATTGGTTGTGTCACAACACAGCCATTCCTCATCTGCATGGCACAGGGCACTTCGGTATAATAGCATGCAGGCTGGCTCACTTCTACTGGGTGGAAGACTAGAGGTGGTGTAACAGCATTAGCAAAGTGCCCTGTGCCACGAGTTTTGAGGGTATTTATACTATGTCCTCACTGCTCTTGGGGAAGGGTGCACTTAGGTACATCCCACCCACCTGCATCCACTGTCTGGAAATGCAGCAAAGCTGCTCTGAAGGCATCGTCTGTAGCTATTCTCATGCATGTTGGAAAACAAGAGGTGCTGCAGGGGGATGCCTCCAGAGTATCCTTCACCACTGTGTTCCTGGTTTGAAGTGAGCAAGTGTCTGGGTATCTCTGGCATGGCACTGCTTTGCCAGGGAGATATGCCCATAGTGGTGTGGTGCCCTACTGTTGTTTCACCACTTGAAAATGAGCTGCATCATTCATGTGGTCTGTAAACCATAGGGAGGAGAGATGGAAAGGCCCTATTTGGTCCATCAGATCCAAGGCTGTTCCTGCCAGCACATTTCTTGACACTCCATCTCCTTTTTTAAATGGCCTATGGGAGGCGGGATGGAGTTATCCACCACTTGCCTTGAGACCTTTCCAGTCTTGAGTATCTCCGCTAATGGTGAGATCTGACCCTTTAGGATGTCCTTTGGGTGGATGCCTGGGTTCGTCCTCTGAGTCCTGGTTTTGCCACCCCATGTCACTGATCAGGACTTCGTAGTTCCATCAAACTCTTGTTGACCGTGATCCTGTCTCCAGGTTATCTCATGTTTCAAGCACAGGGCTCTGTGCAATAACCAAGGAGCTCCATCTGGATCGTAGCAACCAGATGTTTATTTAAAGATAAAGCCATGTTGCACATTGTGTGCTCAAAGCAGTTGAGCAGTCCTCAAGCCCATGGAGCTTCCTCCTGGTATCACCCTCCAAATTGCCCCTCCTACAACTCCTGTTCCCACCTGCAGGTTCCCTGCAAGTTGTCACACCTCGTATCCCATCAGTCACTGAGGAGCCATGATGTGTGTGACATGGACATGGCTCTGAAGAATGGTACCTTGCCTTGCAGCTGGACCGCCTGGAGTTAGACCCATTCCGGGAGCAGCTTGAGGAGCGGTGGAAGGCCATCCGGAAGCAGCTGAAGGAGAAGTCTCCACAGTATGAAGCAGATGAAGCAGCTGGGATCAGGAAGTAAGTTGCACCTCTGGCTTCCTGGCAGCACTTTTGAACAAGGGGCTGGTGTTTCTGATGTGCTGGGATCACCTCAGGCTGTGTCTGCACTTCAGGCCTGTCCTGAGTAGTTTTAACCTAACCAGTCATGTACAGTGGCACAGACGTCACTGTGGTTTGCAAACCTGTGAAAGTATGTAGGGTCCTGAATGGGCACTGGAGCTGCTTCATCTGGGGCTTCCCTGCTGATAGTACCAAGGCCAACTAGACTAACAACAGCTTTGTTGTGCCAACACATGTCTAAGGTGATTGCAGCCATAGTCAAGGATGTCATACTTGTGGTTGATGCATGCCAAAATCTTCCCAGTTTGACTATACCATTTTAATTAAGCATTAGAAGCCCCTAGGGCAGGTGCCTTAGACCAGAAGAGCTATTTCCATACGTGAAGGAGAATAACTAGACCAGTAACGGGCACCATTTTGCTCATATGCCTGCATCTTGATACAGCTCCAACTCAATTAATTCAAAAGAACCCAAAATCCTAAGGAAAATCATTATACTGATCCATCCTAAGCAAAATCATTATACTGTGCAGGGGAGCTCTAAGGTTCTTCTGCTTTGTCCTAATTCTACTGCAACACATTTGAATTAATGGTATCTTTGCCTAATGGCGATCCTGCTTCTCAGGATCAGTTGCAGCCAGAGGCTCTACTGCAAAAGCATGTGGCTGGATTCATCAAGGGATACCAAGGTTTTCAAAGCTACTGGAAAGATTAAAAGTGAGCAGGCTTCCAAAGCCCCTAGGCAAGCCTGAGAGAGCTCACCCTGAGGAGTTAAGGATTAAAATGGAGGGGTTGATCATCTGTAAAGTCTGCTGCTTCACATGTCACATGGAAGGCAACAAGAGGCTGTGGTGATGGGCTGGAATGTAGCATCCTCAGTGCTCCTAAGTGCAGCACCAGGAATCACAGGTCTGCCCAGCCCTTCCTGCTGGGTATTCACAAGACCTGGAAATCAGGCTGTGAAGCCACTGTGAGGAGCCCCCCACTGAAGGGTCAAGCTGGAGGGAGAGGCAGAGGTTGCTCCAAGGATGGCCTCATGTCTTGAGGTTGGACATGTGGGCAGAAGCAAGGGGGAAAGACCTATCCTAAGATGAAGACGAGAGATAGCTGCAACTTAAGGGAGAGGGGGTGCCATCGGTATTCATGGTTTCTGTTCCCAGCTTTGCATTCGCAGCATCTTCCATGGAAGCCTTGCGTTACCCTGCTCCCATGTCTCAGTTTACCCATGTGCAAGTGTTATTTGAAAGCCTCCCTTGGGGTCACTGCTCAAGCTGTGCCTCAAGTTTTGTGAAATCCAGAAATGACAGAGGTGCCAATGATCTATTCCCATTGCAAAGTTTTTTTTCCAGCACCTTGAATTGCCACCGGTTGTGAACCGTTACCCATGCATTGTCACCAGAGGGCACCAGTGCCCTGCCTGTAAGTGCATGGGCCCTGTACAAGCTGCCTAAAGCAATGCAAACCATCAGTTCCTGCAAAGCCTGTTAGATGCAGAGCCAGATGACACAGTCACCACCTTGTGTGGCCCACGTGTTCTGGGAGATGCAGATAAGATCTGACAGCCACCGTCCTCTTCCCAGGCCCACAAACACATGCGTAGACACGCACACACACACACTCCCATGGGCTGCCTGTTGTTTTCTGTCCATTGAAGTCAACACGTGGCAGGTTAGAAAATAAAAGCAAATGGACTCAGATGACACCAGGCAGGCTGCCCTTGGGCATCGGACAGAGAGAGAGAGAGAGAGAGAGAGAGTGTGTGTGTGTGTGTGTGTGTGTGTGTGTGTGGCTAATTTCAGTTCGGCCCCTAGGGCTATCTTGAAATTATGGGCAAGTTCAGAGCTGCCAGGCAGTCCCTGCCAGATGCATCACACTTTCCCATTAGTTCAGGGCAGGTATTCTATCATGCCAATTGCTGACTCATGATCATGACCCTGTCCTTGCTCAATGAATGCCAGGACTGATAAGGAAGGGCACCGTTCTGTGGCTTCGGGTTCTTGGTTCCCTGCTATCTGAAGGTTGTAAATCTGAGTCCTGCTTCTGGGCCATCTTGCCTGCACCCCCAAGCCTTAATGGAGATGTAGAGGGTATAAAAACCTCTTTGTTTCATAGGGAATGCCAGGTTATGATGCATACTTATGTAATATTTTCAGGGGGGTGTTTAATGCTGATGAAACTGCAGCCTTGGTATAACGTGTATAAGCCCTTGTATGTGGCAGGTATGCATTTCTGTGCCATACTGTTCCAACTATAAGTCACCCCCCGCCCCCTTTTTTTTTATTATTACCTCAAAAAAGAGCCGTAAAAACTGCTGTCAACTTATACACAGAGTTGACCTATAATTGGGCTCCTGACACCAAGGCAATAATCACATCAGAACCTTCACAGACACATTGAACGTATGAGCATAGACTATTGTCATATTTGGGGAAACAAAAGTTTTTCGTGAATCTGGAAATGTGGTGCTGACTTACACACAGGGTCGTCCTGTCATCAGAGCAGTACGGTATATTTCATACTCGTGTGCATGTGGGGCTGTGGAAGAAAGAGGGGGGCAAAATTATTTTGTAGCAGCTACCAGGACAAGGGGTATGTATGTGATGCATTTGTTGTGCTGGCAGTGTTGGCTCATGGTTAAAGTTGGGGTCAAGACTCCTGGGCTGGCCACTGATCTGCTGTGTGATCATAGGCAAGTCACTTTCCTTCTCGCTGTCTCAGTGTTCACAGCTATGAAAGGAGAATAATGATATTGGCCCTCTTCAGAGGAGGGGAGGAAAGGGTTGCTGTTCAAAAGCATCATGAAATGCACCCCTGAAAGAAGCTGTAGAAGGAAAAATGTAGCTGATATAAAACAGTGCGGCTTGGTGGAGTTACTCTGACTTTGCCAGCTGAGGCTTTGGCCCAGTGTTTGACCTCTTGAGAAATCATGGAAGGGGCCTCAAGAGGGCATCTCATCCAACCCCTTGCGAAGGGCAGGAGTGTCCCTGTCTAAACCCTCTCAGCTTCCACTGACAGAGATCCCAGAGCCGCTTTAGGTGATCTGGTCTGTGCTCAGCCACCCTCATAGTTAGACAGCCCTTCCTAAGCTCCAGCCAGACTCTCTCTCTGTGTACACAGTTTTCATATAAGGCCAGTTCCTAGGCCGGTGTATTTCTGAGAGGTGACCACAGAGTGGATACTTGGTGTTCACAGACTACTCCAGGTCTTAGCACCTGCTGGGTATATTCAGGCATTCTCTCAGCTTGTACCTCTAACATCGTCTCTAGTCATATTCCCTTTGGCACAGATCTGAAGAAACTAACACCCCGATCCTATAATAACCCACACATCTGCTCCCACCTCCCCAGGCGCCTGCTGGCTCATTTCCACTGCATCTCCTGCGACAGACCCCTGGACATGGTGGTGCCTGGCCCGTAAGTCCAAGATCCTGTTTACCAGCGGTGGGGTCTGAGTATGGACTGGCAGAACTGTTTGAGTCCGGAGCGTGCTGTCCCTTTTCCTGCTTGGGGCTGATGGACGGTCACTGCTGGTGGATCTCTTGAGTTCCCTGTGGTGATGGGGGAGATGATGAGGATAGGAGCAGGAGAAAGATGGTACTGGGTGCACCCCTTCCACACCCTTCACGTGCAGTGTAGGTATTGCTGTATGCCCTGTCACAGCAGTTCCAGAACTAGCAGTCTGACTCCCAGGGGCATTTTTGAAGCAGTTTTTGGGGTGTGGGGCCAGGCTATGTTCTGTACCATCTCAGGTGTCATCTTAAGTCAGTTTCTGGTTTTTGCTGTGCAGAAAACCCTTCCCAGAGGGATAAGATGCAATAATTAGATTCATTAAAGGTCACTTAGAGGAACTGCCTTGCCCGATCCAAGCACCAGGTTCCCAGGAGTGCTTTGGACTCACTAAGCATGTGTACACATGCATGTACTGTATAGTAAGTTACTGCGCAGTAAGTGGGTTTTAGACTGGCGTCTACACACGTAGCTGTTACAGTGCAGTAACGTTGTGTGTGCACTGACTTGGGAGTAAAGTTACTCCCAGGTCAGTCCACACCAACAGGGTTACTGCGTAGTAAGGTGTCTACACAGGTCTTACTGTGCAGTAACTACTCAGGAGTAAATTTTCTACCTGTATCATGCAGGTAACGAATTTACTCCCGAGTCAGTGTAAGTTACCATAGTGTGCAGCACGGGTGTGCACATGTAGACATGCACCTGTACTGCACAGTAAGTTTTGGTTACAGTGCAGTAATGGTGCACGTGTAGATGTGCCCATTAGCTGCAGAAAGAATTGCACCACCTTGCTGTGCTGACCCAAGTGCAGTGCAGGGAACCAGGCATAATCTGTGTTCCCCTCCTGGTTCTGCCACTGACTCACTTGTGCTTCCCTGGGCCAGTTACTTGTCCTCTCCATGTTCCTGACCATCCAAGGAGAGGATAATATTTTCCTGGTTAATGAGTTAATGATTTGTGCAGAGCATGGCTAATGGAAAGTGCAATAAAAATGAACCGTGAAGTAACAAGACCCAGGTGCTTGGCCCTTCCCTGGTCCTCCCTGAGCTACTCACTGGGTGGTGCTAGCTTGAAATCCACATGATGGCTTCATTCCACCCATGGGCAGGGATCCAGCGGTACAGAGCTCTAAGCTCTAACTGCCACAGTTTGTCCACTGCTACAGTCGAACAGGCGCTGCAGTGGGAAAGCAGGGCAGACGGTCAGCAGAATGCCATACACATCAGATCTCCTCGTCCGGACACCTATGATTTGCATTTCTGCACTTGGGAGAGGTGGGGGCAAGGCCCAGGAATGGGGTTGGAGGGTGTGGATTGGTAGACCAGATAATCCCAAACCCCCTTTGACCTCCCCATATCCTGGATTTTGGCATAGCATAGGCACAAACTGCTCTAACTTGAGCTGTACAGAAGGCAGGGAATGGTGCCTTGCACTCACCGAGTTCCCCAGCCTGCCCCTGCCCTTGCCTCTGATCCATTCCCTGTTCCAACAGGCCCTTTTTTGAACTTCTCCACTGGCAAGGAGATTGGCACAGGAGATTGGCACAGGAGATTTTCTCAGGAGGCCGTTTCTACCCCATCAGAGCAGCACTGGGGATTGGGCGTAACTGAGAATTGGGCCCAATGTCTCCAGGCCAGCAGGGGTTAGAATCTTTTGCTAGACCAGGCCCACAGGATTTACAGCCCAATAAACTTCTCCAAGAGCAGTAAGGGCAGAGAGCAGAATTAAATCTGCAATACCAGACAGATTTCCTCCTTGCCTAGTGGTTCTCCCAGCTGCTTTGGCAACCCTTGCTGGAGAGCAGCCATCCCAGCATGAGACTGCTCGGGCCCCACTTCGAGAATGGAGCCTGCCATCTCCCTCCTCGGCAGTTGCCAGCCCTGAACCATGCCAGGCAGTGGATTTAAACACCAAGCACATTATTGTTCTCCCCTGACTCCTTTGCATTTGGCTCCACCAGGACCATCACGCGCATCCCCTCTGTGCCAATGCTACCGACTCACCGCTCTGTCCGGCCCTACACTGTCTACGAGCTGGAGCAAGTCAGGCAGCAGTGCCGCAGGTACAGTGTACTCAAGGGCAAGGGATTTCCCTCTATTGTTGCATTTCCCAGGCAGTCACTTGCAGTGTGGAGATGGGGAGGGGAGTGGGTGAGATGCTGCTGCTAGTGGCAGGTGCCTACATCAACCAGGTAGGTTGAAAGACGGTGATGGGGCCCCTCCCAGAGCAGCCCTCCATTTCCATCTGCCACAGCATTAGAGACATGTGGGTTCTCCCCACCTCCACTTCTCTGGGGCTCAAGGTCTCCTCTTCCAGGGGGGGCATTGCCTGTGTACCTTCTTGGATGAGCTGATGTACCACTGATCTTTGCCAGCCCAATGAATGGCACTCCAGTGCCTTCCTGAAGAATAGCACCCTTATCCCTTCACCTGGGAAGGAGCTTTTCCTGGGGGAATTTATTTACAGACTATTGAAAGCTGTCTGTGGGCCAGAGCTTTACCCAGGTGTTTAAATCACAGCCCTGAGAGTTATGGTAATTTACAGAAGTGCCTGCACTGCAGGAGTTTGTGCCCCAAGTCCTGCACCAGCTTGTGCTGGGCTCGGTGTGAACTCTTGGCTGGATTCTCTAGGAGCATTTTCTTGGATTCCTTCAAAGCTGGGGTCAGGAATCCAGAGGGAACAACTTAGTTCATTACATCAAGAAACCCCATTGATCTCCTAAGAGGTTGCGTTGGGGTAAGCCAGAGCAGAGTTTGGCCCTGTTAGATACTTGCAAGGGGTCAGCTGGCCCTTTCCTCCAAGCCCATGGCCAATCCCAAGGGAAACTTTTTAAACACCTTCATGTAGGACAGTAACATGTTGCAGGCACATCCCAGCCCCGGGCTCACTGAACCCACCCTGTTTCCCTTGACTGGGAGAGACCACAACACTTCTTGCATGGCTCTGAGAGAACCACATTGGCCCATGTGCAGCAAGTGCTGTGGGTCCAGCAGGCATGTAGCCCTCAGGAGGGCAAGTAGCCTAAGCAGCTGCTCTAGGGAGAAGCCTCATCACAGAGCATGAACCCTGCAGCATGAAGTATCCTCGTGCTCCCCAGAGGGTTCTGCTGTAGGGTGGGAGGCTTCTTGGCAAGGATGAGTGGGGGAGGCCTCTCATGAGGTGAGGACCATGGTGTCCAGCATTATGAAGGGGTGGCCCAGGGGTCCCAGTGCAGCTCCCAAATGGTGCTTGTGGGCAGTGCCTGCTGCCCTTCCTTCCAGGAGCAGCATTGACAAGGCTCAGCCTCTCTCCTGGTGCCTTAGCCCTGCTTAACAATGTGATTTCTCCTTTCCTCCCCCATCTCTGGCTCTGTCTCCCCCAGCCTGAGGTTAGGAGCTGTCCTCTCGCCTCATGCTGATGGGCTCCTGCTGGAGAAGAGCACGGGCCTGGGCGGGCTGCACAGCGTTCACTCCAAGATGCTGATGGATATAGAGAAGGTGCAAACCCACTATGGGGGCACGGCGAGGGCCAGCAGTCAGATGATCAGGGAGCTGCTGCAGTCACAGTGTCACAGCCTGGGCCACTATCACCAACGGTAGGACAGCAGGTCTGAGCCAGGGGCGCTTGCCCAGGGGCTGAGCTCAGAGCGTGACCCAGGGCCCAGGAGAACTGCAAAAAAGGGACCATGATGCCAGCTCTCAGCAGAGAGCTTCAGGTCCAGGGCAGTGCTCAGCCCCATTTTAGTTGGTATATTCTGTAGAGCCTGTTAATGAGTGAGGCTCAGGCCCTCCTCCCAGCTTGCTGAGCATAGCCTTCCCTCATCCTGACTGACACAAAGGGCCCAGTCCTAGAGTCTTCTGATTCTCCTTATGGCTGTTAACTGTTTGCCATCCCTGCATTCACTATGGCTGAGCAGGCATCTTGCTTGGAGATGCAGCTGGTGAAGGGCTCATGTTGTTCTCTTTCTCCTCTTCCCCAACACCTCTAAGGTGTCTCCTCCACCCCTAGTTTAGGATACAGCCTTGGGACAGAGAGGAGGAAAGGGTTGTGACCAACATGTGGCAGGAGAGGGGCAGAGGCTCGGCAAAGCAAGCAGTGCACAGCCAGGGACCTGTGTCTCTCTGCCTCACAGGACTTAGCTAGCTGGTCCAGCATCTTGTTTCCATCTTTTGTAAATACCAGAGGCTCCAAAAGAAATGCCAAGCACCCTGTAATGGTGGAGGACAGAACAGCCTGCCTGGGTGCAAGGTTGGCCTAACCCACCATTCGTCAGAAGTTGGCTTCTGCCCTTGAAGCACAACACTTAGTGCATCTCTCCCAGGGGAGGCACCTACTGAATATGGTGGACGTGGGGCCTGATCTGACCAGAGGGGATATGTCATGGGAGGAAAGCAGAGTGCTGGCTTGAGACATGCACTCAGCATTTGAGGGTCCATAGCAACGTCTCTTCATGCTCAAACTGGCCTTTGGACTTCAGAAGTGTTCAACACACTGAGGAGCTGCTTGATCTGAGCCATGTTGAGGCCAATTCTCTAGCTGTTGTCATGGTAGCCACTCACTTCAGCCAACAAAGCTCTTTGCAAGGAAACCTCAGTGGTTTCACTGCTGGCTTTGTATTCCAGTGGGTCAGATCCTTCTAAAGACTCACCCCCTTGCTCCCCCCCCTGCCCCACAGGGACAGCAGTAATCATTAAAACCAGTATAGAGTAGACCACAGCAGCTTCAAAGAGACACAGCGCAGGGCAGAGGAATGACATCCAGCAAAGGGGATCTTGGCTTCCCTTGCTGCCATTCCTCTCCATGCAGGCGTCTGTCATTTCCTTGGAGCTGTTGGCTACCTGTCACCGTGCATCACTGCTGGTGCTAGGGCTGGGGACCTCCCTTCACTGCCTGGCCAGGCCCCTGAGCCTCTGTCTTTGGGCTGGATGCCTCCCTGGGCTGCCCCCCGCTCTCTGGAAATCTGTTCTCTTTGAAAACTGTTTGCGTGTATACGTTTCCCTTTGTCTGCCATCCAGCAGCCAGGCTGACCCTTCTCCCTGTGAAGATGGTGGCTCTGTGGACTAGTACAATGGACTTCTCTCCGCTGGAGATCTGGCCTTAAGTTTCTCAAGCACAATGATAGAAAAGGCTGGGCTCATCTTCTCCTTGTTTGGGCTTCCTCAAGAGAATCTGACCTTGTAAAGTGTTGAGCTGCCTCAGTTTCCCTCAGTGTTAGTGGAATTAAGCCCAAAACCTCCCTGCACTGTGGAGGAGTAGGAGGGAGTGAGGGTCTCATTTGGGTCTGGGGACCCTTTTTTCTAACTCATGTTTTCTAAAGAGATCATGAAAGGTTTGTTTTCCTCTTCTTTCTCCTTAGAAAGATTGGGAACATCCAGTCTGCTTTTTTCTGGAGGATTTATTGGAGGTTTTTAATATGAACTGGGAGCTTTCTCAGCTCATAAATGACAGGGTAGTGGAAAGGGCTGGAACTTTAACAAAGATCACCCTACTCCCAAGGGTTCTTGGGCATTTGAGTTACATACCTGCCAAAACATTTGGCATGGAATTTTAAAGCAGCTAGACAAAAGCCACTTCCCCCCTCAATCAGTCTGGTGTGGTTTGCTGGCAGGGTCTTACCAGGTTTTTAGCTTTCCATTGGGATTTTTGGGAAGGGAAAATGGGATAAGTGAAACACCATGGTCTAGTTTAGTAAAGATGGAGGATATTTTTTTGTTGCCAGGCTCTCTTTGTATACGCTAAAGCCAGCACAAAAGGTCACATCCCCAGCCCCGTCCCCTGCAGGCCACTCCTGATATTAAGGGGTTGGTAGAATACTTTGGGGACTCACAGTCCAGTGGTGAACAGAAGGCCTTTGCTCTGGTAGCCAGCTGGGCTTTGCAGGGTGGCCTGCAGGGTTCTCTGCCATTTCGCTTGCTGAGTCTGCAATGTTGCCTTCCTACAGTGACAAGATGGCAGAGATGGAGTGTGGCTACCTGTCTGTACCTCGGCATTGTGGCGGGCGCCCCACCCCAACCCCCCCCCC